GGAAATTTGTAGAGGGACAAATGTCTCAATTTTATTAAGAGACTTTTAGCAAAACTATAGCACAGGTGAGACACCTTTCCTTGACCCAGGAAGACAAATGGTGGTCTGACTAACCTCTCCTCCTCCGTGACAGGATTCCTCAAATGGCAACTTTATTCCACTGAAATTATCCAGTTAGGAAATACTAATTAACAAGGCTGCACAGTCTCTTTGGGGACTAGAAAGAAAAAAATACAAAGTCCATGATAGTACCATTAGGAGCACTCCGAGTGGCTCAGCTATAATGCCAAAAGAGCACGGAAGAACAGGTTAACATTAGTCTGCAGAGGGAGTTTAATGGATGTGCCTCCATTTTCAATAGCTTCCTATATAGAGGGCGGTCATGACTTACAAGACAAAGGAAGTTTGCTGACATCTACTGGGAGAAAGCCAGCTAGTGAGGTGGAAGAGGGAACAAGACCTCAAGCCATAGAAGCAGGGACCTTATTTTAAAATCTTAGCTCTGCCACTTAGTAGTTGTAATACTAAAGAAGTTATTCTCTTTCACTCAATTTTCCTATCTAGAAAATGGGGATAATAATTGACTTCAATAAATTAATGAGATTAAATTACTGCATATAAAGTAATTAGTATCTGATTATATAAGTTATGATTATAAATAAGATCCAAACTACCTCTACCAGGCTGAAATGAGAGAATCTCACAAAATGAAAACTATAAAGATATTTAGTATAGGGTCAGGGATTTAGCTCAGTGGTGCCGCCACCTGCCTCGCAAGCACAAGGTCCCAATTTCAATTCCTAGTTGAAAAAAATATATATATTTAGTATAACTCATATTACCTGAAAGGAAAGCAACCTAAAAACAATAGGAGAGCCATTATATACACAGAACGGAATATTATAGTCATAAAAATTACTTTACAGGCAACAAAAGCAAAAATTAAAAAAGCAGGATTTCATCAACCTAAAATCCTTCTTGCGCAGCAGAGAAAACAATCACCAAAATGAAAAGGCAACCTACAGATTGGGAAAAAGTACCTATGAACCATGTATCCACTAAGTGGTTAATATCCAAAATATATAAGGAACTCATACAAGTTAATAGCAAAAAAAGAGAAACCTCATTTAAAAATTGATAGAGGACCTATCCTCCAAAGAAGACATAAAAATGGTCAGTAGGTATACAAAAAGGTTCTCAGTATCACTAATTATCAGGAAAATATGAATCAAAATCATGATGAGCTACAATGGACCACAATGGACAGATGTTCACAATGGACATCTGCATGCTGGAGAGCCAAAGGATCTAGTAGCTTCTCAGCCTAAGAAGCTAGAAGCTGCAGAACAAGATAAGTCAAGGACACAGCACCCATCTGAAACTGAAGGCCTAGAAGCTCCCTGGAGAGTCACTGGTTTACGACTGCATTGGGAGGCTGAAGAAATTGGTATCTGGTGTCTACATGTGACTGTAGCAAAAGACGCATCAGCCCAAGCATAATGGAGCTCTTCAAAATGCACTCCAACTTCCTCCTTTCTTCCCTTTTTTTCCATCTAGGCCACAAGACAATTATACATAGTACCACCCACAATCAGGTTGGGTGTCCCCCCTACTCAGTTTGCTGGCCTACATGCCAATCATCTCTGGAAATATCCCACAGACACATGCAGAGGTGTTCAAAACATGCAAAGAAAAATAAATTAAAAATCATGTTGCATAAGAATAACAAATTGAAGGAAATGAATCAGAATAAGGGAACAGAACATGATAGAAGTAGAAGTACTGTTTGGGAAAGGTGGTATCTGACAAAGTAGTTATTGATCAGACTCAAATGAGGGACCAAGCTATGTAGTGTGGGGAATAAAGTGGAGTACAAAGATAAACCACATATTTAGATGCACTGCAAGTCTTCAAGTCAGATTTCATGATAGCCTTTAAAGGAGTAGTATTTGTCATTTGACAAATATTTATTACATGCCTTCTATGCATATTTATTGCTCTAGGTGCCTGACACAGAGCAGTGAACTAAGTGGACAAAGATCCGTGCCCTATAGTCTGGGGTGGGGGGTACGAAATAAACAGTAAACATAATAACTTGAGTAAATGATGTGTAGTATTTGGGAGGCAATAAGCATTTGATCACAGCTACAGCTAAAATCAGGCCAGCAAAGGCCAGGGATTTAGCTCAGTGGTTCTGACGCCTGCCTCGAAAGCGCAAGGACCCAAGTTCGATCCCAGGTACCAAGAAAAATAAAATAAAATAAAATAAAATAAAATAAAATTAGGCCAGCAAGAGAGACCTCATGGTGAAGGTGATATTTAAGCAAAGACCTGCAAGAGGTGCAAGGGAGGAAGCCATATCTGGAGGCAGAACATGTTAAGCAGGGAAATAGCCAACACAAAGGCCTAGGAAAAGAGCCTTCCTGGGTGGTTTGCTGCAAAGAGGGTAGTGTGATTAGGGTGGGAAAGGGAGGATCTGATGAGTAGGAAGTGAGGTACAAACAGTGAGGAAGAGGTCACAAGTCTTCCAGGTCATTGCAGAGTTGTTGGCTTTCCACTGAGTGAGATGGAGGAAAATGCCAAGATTTTAAGCAGGGAAGTGACATGATCTGACTATATTGAATAGATTAAAATGCTCTGTACTTAATATTATTTTAACTTGAAAATGTGCTGTATCACTGAGATCATTGCTCAATGAGAAATGCCGCTTAGCCCTAAGTGCCTGACATGCTGAGAACCTCCCTGGTCTTGTGACCAGAGTGGAAGGAGATGGAGTTGGGGGAGCTGAGTAAAAATAGTTGTTTCATTTGTTTAAAGAGCTTCTGGAAGGAATAACTAATAAGAATAGCTGTAAAGGTCATTGCAAAGATTAAGTGCTATCAAATGCTAACTACTACTTAAAAATAAAAAGCCTGTCATTGTTCTTGGGACCAGAAGTCAGGACCTCTGGCAGCCCATAGCCTCAGCCGGCCTGTCAATGCTACAGCGCCTTTAAAGGACTCTTCTGTCAACCTGTGTTATTTGATGGCTGCATCTTCCACGCACACCTCTGGTGGAAGGAACTGTTTACTCTGTGTACTCTGCAGCAAAATACAATCCTGAGAGCAGAGTTTGATGACCATTTTTTATTGTTGTTTTGGTTTTTTTAAAAAAATCATTTATTCTTACGTTGTACTTACAAGACTGCCCAAAAAGCATTGAGTGTTTGCAAGAATGACACGGGGACACAGGTAAAAAGATCTTGCAGTGAGTTGTTTACACCAAACCACCAAGTCATGGAAATTTTGCTTGAGATTTATTTGTGGGAATAATAGTGAGATACTGGCTTGCCAGTGCCAGCTCTGAAACTAACACAATGAATAGCTATTGTTCTGACACAGTATCCGGCAGCTTGCATCCACATACACTGAAGATGACCTTCCTCTTCAGAACTAACTTCCAGTTTTTATACACACTTACATTTATATATGAATTGTTATTGGTGTACCCAATGTTCTGGGTGCCTAGGGAGGGGTTGAATTATATAAAGATATTTAAGTTTCTCTCCAAGGAGAATTCCACTTCTATGTTTTGCCAAGCCAGGCCATTCCTGACATAAGATATGTTCAAAGAGACACAAATAATGAAAGGAGGAGGTAAGTTAGTTATTAAACATGTATTGAGTACCAAATTCTGTTATGATATCATTTTATCTCACCCTCATAACCTACTAAAATACATACTGTACAAAACATTATTTTGCAGATGAAGGACTAAGATTTAGAGTTAAGTCAGTAATTAAACTAACTTAGTAAATATCAGAGCTTGGAACCTAATTCTGTGGATTCTAAATCCATCCTTTCCCTCCATACAGACCTGCCCTGAAAAAGACTGTCATCTAGTGGGTAAGGCAAGACTTACACAGAGAAATCAATTGGAGAAAAACACAAATGCTTAACTCACATGGTCAAGACTCACTCGTGAATTCATTCTACAAAAAAATGCAAATTCTTGCCAAGAGCAAGGCTCCAAGGAAAGTACTTGCTAGGATGTTGATGAAGTAGAAATAACTAAGAAAAGTAAGGTTTTTCTGTCAATCACATAGATAGATGCCTACGATAACCCAAGATGACTAAGATAGGCCAAAGGGGATAGGCCCAGGATGGCAATGCCTGCCTCTTGATGTGTCTGGGCCAAAATCATGTTTTTCCCTAAGTTCTATAGTTTGCAGGATAATAGACTTGGGCTGGGAGATGTCAGAAAGCCCTAACCAGTAAGTCCTAAGACATGAAAGAAAATGAGAAGTAGAAGTCACAAAGATAGCTGTAGCCCTCATAGATAACTATGAAAATAAGTCTAGAAGGGGATTCACTACCTGCTAATGTCTTAAGAAATCTTTAGCTTCTCGGATGCTTGCCCCATTTCCTGTCATCCACAGATATCACACTGGGAAGGGTAACTGTACTACAATCTCTCAGCTCTAAACTTCTATACTCTGGCCTGACAGCTTCCTAGCAGGCTTTGTCATGAAGTGTTAGACAAAGAAGTCAAGGCTGGAGAAAGAAGAAGAGATTTGCTTGTTCTTGTCTGTTTTCTGATTGCTTCTATTTGTCAGAACCCCCCTAGTCTGACTTCTTCCCTGGAAGCGGCAGTTTACTCCAGTAACAGTAGTTGATTCTAGACATGCTTTGTCTAATATAGAACCAGTCTCTGGTAAAAGAAGATAACATTGATGCAGTAGGCAAAAAACTACAAGAGTACCACTCTCAGTATCAGGAAAAGAGCAAAGAATATGATAGGATATATGAAGAATAAACCAGAACATCTCAGGAAATACAGATGAATAGAACTGCAATTGAAGCTTTTAATGAAACAATTAAAATATTTGAGGAACAATGTCACACACAAGAACAACACAGCAAAGAATATATTGAGTGATTTTGCAGAGAGGGGAATGAAAAGGAGATTGAACGAATTATGATGAATTATGATAAATTGAAATCACATCTGGGTGAGACTCATGACAGCAAAATGCATCTAGAGCATGATTTGAAGAAACAAGCTTTGGACAACTGAGAAATAGATTAAAAAAAATGAATAGTATCAAACCTGACCTGATCCAGCTGCACAAGATCCGAGATCAGCATCTTGTATGGCTCAATCACAAAGGAGTGAGACAGAAGCGCCTGAATGCATGCCTTGGAATCAAGAATGAGAATGCTGATGAGATCTATTTTATCAGTGAAGAAGATGAAAACCTGCCACATTATGATGAGAAAACTTGGTTTGTTGAGGATATCAATCGAGTACAAGCAGAGGACTTGCTTTATGGGAAACCTGACGGTGCACTCTTAAGTCCTGAGAGTAGCAAGAAAGGATGCTATGCCTGCTCTGTGGTGTAAGTTCTTTGGGTAAAATGTTTTAGGAAAAATGATATCTAAAATTATCTTGGGGATTCAAATTTATATGTTAAACAAATTAGACCCTGCAATTGTTGATGTTAGATTTCAGATATCTGTGAGACCTTAAACTGAAAGAAAAAAAATCTGCTTAATTCTTTAGTAGTTTCCTGTATGGCTAACTTGGTCTCCATTGTCAGACTAGGGATGGCTTGATTAAATAGAACTGTTTTTGGGCCTGGGATTTAGCTCAGTGGTGCTGCAGCCTGCCTGGCAAGCACAAGGTCCTGAGTTCAATCCCCAGTACTGAAAATAAAAGAAAGAAAGAAAGAAAAAAAGAACTGTTTTTACTTTAGAAGAGAAACTGTATTTAAATTTTAAAATGGAATACTAATCTGTTGAGGTAGTGATAGAAAATATGGGTGTTTTTTCCCTAAGATAATTTTATGACTTTTTGATTTTTAAAGCTTGTTTTCCTCTTAATAGAAAGTAGCTGGTTGTGGCAGCACAGGTGGGTAATCTCAGCACTTGGGAGGCTGGGACAGGAGGATCATGAGTTCGAGGCCAGACTGGGATACATAGTGAGACTCTGTTCTTTTCTTTTCTTTTTTACGAGAGTGAAATTCTGCAATAACCATTAACCATATCGTAGTCAGATTTTCCTTGAGTGTGGGGTATATTCCTTGAGCAGGCAAAGATACTATTGACAGAGTCCATACTTGGAAAGGAAATATGATGATTATGAGGGCAAGCTTTGGTGCCAGATATAGTATGTTCAAATCTTGGCTCTACTGCTTCTTTGCCTACCAAGTTTCTTAATCTATAAAAAATAAAAATAAAAAAAATAAAATAACCAGTCTCAGTGTGCAACCATCACCCCCAAAATCTTTAAAGTTTCAATAATTCTGATCTCTTTCCCACATCCCTCTGTCTTTGGAGCTGATAAGTCATTTCTTCAGTTACTACCACCAGGATACCTTAATACATTCTGTATCTTTTCAGTTCTTTACTATCTTGTTAAAAATGTCATATATTAAATTCTCTCCATTCCCTAACTCATACAAAATTAATTTCATTGTTAATTTAAGTTAAAACAAATTAGAAAACTATTTAATATGTGTAAGTTACAAGAAAAGTGTTTGGAATAGAAATATTTAGCTTAGCCCTCATGCTCACAGGAAGCTAATAGCTTAAAAATGTCAAACTGATCATGTCTTGCCTGGTGTAAGTGCAAAACTGCATACTAGATAAAGTCCAAGGTCCTCACACAAGACTCTTCATGACAGTCTCTGCTTGCCTTCCAGACTTGTGCTCCCAACCATACCTTCTCCCAGCCCACCATGAGGATTTTCACATCCTGAGCTTTTGCCAACATAGTTTCCTGTGCTTAGAGTTTATCTGCCAGCTCAGATGTCACCTCCTCTAAGAAGCCTCCCATTTCCACTCTCCTGCTAACAGGTAAGCTCTCCTGCTCTAACACTTGTGCTCCTAAGTGTAAATGTGCTCTCCTATCAGGCCACAAGCTTCTCAAGACCAGTTTTGACATTATATTCTATCATTGCTTTAGCATTTGGCACAGTGCTGGGCACTCATAGGCCTTTAATAAATGATTACTTAGAATTATCTATAGTCTTTCCATTCTCCAAGTTTCTTGCTACATATTTGAGACATATAGCTGAAAGAAAAAACATCAATGTTTGAAGAATTTTAAAACTCTTGTTCCTCTTCTGTTTATATGGAACACTTCTCCAAATACAAAGCTGTTTGTATGTCTTTGCATTAGATTATATCCTTAGAAAGTCAGGACATTATAATTTCCTTAGTGCAGTGCCAAGAAGGGCTGACATCACCATGAATGCAAAAGCTGCAGATGACAAAGAAGTAAATCGGTCCTGTCAGAACTTGGCTGACACAGCAGAGGATATTGCAGTTCATATTCTCTCCCTCCGCCCCTCCTTTTTTCAATTTTTAAGGGATAGGAGCCTCACTATGTTGCTCAGGCTGGCCCCACACTCCAAGGCTCAAACAATCCTTCTGTCTCAGCCTCCTGATTAGCTGGGACTACAGGCATGCATCACTACACCTGACTAGGAGCAGTGTTCTCAAAAGTCCTCTGCAGTTAAATGAGTTTCCCATCTTGCTGAGAAATTAAGAAATAAAGTGACTTATCTAATTGGAATTGAGAACTCAGCTTTCCCCTGTCAACAGCTGTGGGAACCAGGCTGTTAGTCCTGGAGTAACTGGTCCAAGCCCCCTAGTATGGCCAGAGGTCCCTCTTTGATTAAAGAATGGCAATATTCCCAAATTGGCTGAGTCATCAGGCAATAGGACTTTCAGTGCCCTGCATCTGCCACACATGTGCACTACCATTTTACTGCGATGCTCTCTCAAAGACTGAGGCTGCCAAGGTAGTATGAGAAGCAACAGAGGACTGTGGACCTGAGGCAAACAGCAGGCAGCATTATCAGACTCTGAGCAAGGCCACTGAGGGGTCAGCACTTTGGAAGTGGGGCTGAAAAATAACAAAGGCTTTTTTTGCATAAAAAGAGAGGCAGTTTCTCTTTGGAAACTAGATCTATCTAGTTTGGAAATGAGAGATCTATCTCTTGATCTTCTAATATATAGATGGTATGCATCTATTTTTGCATGGGGAAAAAGCATTAGCCAGTCTAGCCAGTGTGACCTCTCTAAATCAGAATGTTTTTCATCCAAAGACATGTATTTTCACATTTTAACCACCTCTAGGGATGCAATCAAATCTTATTGAGCATAAATGATTGCCTCACCCTACCTCAGGAGTAATTACATCTATCAGAGTTTCTCTAACTTTGTTTTCAGAAGTCTCTGCTGAACAATTGCACACCTATTTGTTTTTATCATTCTAATATTGAAACTGTGTAAATCTGATTGACTATGAAAAATTAACTTGAGAGATGTGGCTTTGATTTGGTATTAGACATAACATGCAGAATGAAATTTACGTTTCCTAATCCAGTGTAAAGTACTTAAAGAAACAAGCTAAATCTTTAATATTTCCTCCTTGCAAAATGTACAACACTTTGTGTGGGATGTGAGCTATTTTGAAAAATTCCACAGGAGAAAGATGATTGGACTGTGGGGCTGGGCGTCTTTCCTTTGCCCTTCCACCTCTCCACTCTGAGCATGGCCCCAGAAGGCACAAGCGATAGACTTTTGGGCTTTTGTGCTGCCCAGCTTCACATTGGGTTCTGCCCATGGGAAGCTTGCAGGAGCTGGGCCTCTGTGAGTTATCCATAGCTAATTGGAATGGAGTCCCTGTCTTCAGAGTTGCTTCTGGTTGACTGTCCTTGATTTAAGGTCACTTCTCACAAGACAGCCTCCTCTCTGTTAGAGCCAGCCCTCCTCCATCCACTAGGGCTCAGGGCTCAGGCAGTTTTGCTGCTCCTGGGCCTATAGTACTGCACAGCCCCTGTGAGTTACCCCCACACCACCCACAGCCACACCCATACCCACACCCACTGATGCAACTCTTTGTAACTCCCTCATGAATAAACTCTTATCAGATTGTCTTAATTTCAGTGTGCTGACTCTTTCCAGCTGGGATCCTGACTGGGTAACACTACACTGTTCAATGCTGAGGGGTAGAAATATACCCATGTTTGACTGCAAATCTGCTTTTCAGAAAGTTTTGTAATATGCAAGTGTGCTATTCACAATCTTTAACATAATGCTACAGCAGTGTTCTGGAGCCACTGTTGTACCAGGCATTATTTTTTCAGTTGCTGGATTATTGAGGGTTGCAAGAGAGAGGCTAGGGCAGGCAGCACAAAAACACTTGGAGGTGTCAGGATAGTAGCTATTTACCAACCAACAAGGAAGGGTTTAGTATTTTCACAGCTAGTGTACCCCAGCTGAACGTTAGCCTAAGTAATGTGCCTACCTATTTATGGGAACCTTTGGGTTACCACGAAGTTCATTTCTATGGTTACTTAACATACTCTGAAAGCAGAAATACAGGCAAAACATAAGCAGGGAACAGATGTTGCCTTGTACATATGATGAATGAGCAACAAATTTTTGCATTCCCTTACCCAACCCAAATGAACCAAGAAAGAGCCAATTTTAAGCTTCTGGCAGAAAGGACAGTATATTGACAAGCTCAACATATGAACCAAATTTCAAAGGCTGCCCAACACTATCAGGCGATTTTTAGAACTGTGACATTTGCATCAAAGATTGTGTCTGTGCTGGGCATTTTGCATCCCTTATGACAGCTCTTTTAATCCTGGACTTTGGTTTCTGAACTTGTTTGTTTGAACATGTAAAATAAAGGACTGTTTGATCCTTAGCCACACATAAGAAGTTTTCTGATTTTTTTCAGAGCTGATCTTGTATAATATAATTGGTTATTCCTCCTCTGAAACATAATTCTATCACATATTTTTATATTTCCTTCTGCTGCTTCTATGGTGACACCATTTACATATCTCAAGTGATTAGTCATGAAAAGGGGCCATATGTTTGTAACATACACTGAGTTTTTAATCCTGTTAGCTTAAGCCATGGACAATTTAATAAATTCCTTTCTAATTCACTGTGTTGCAAATGAGAATAACTAAATTATTTTGTTAACGAAGCATTAGATTTAAGAAAATGAGACACCTAATGACTGTGCCAGAATTTGAAAAGGGTTCTCTGACTACAGAACAATAGTTGAATGTGAAAGGATACCCATCCCAGGAGTTAACATTTCAAACAGGTAACACGGTGCCATAATGAGATTAGCAAACAAACATGGAATGTGTGGGTATTTATTCAAGAAGCTAAACGATATAGGGCAGATTAAGATACAGAAGAAAATATTCTGATGATCACAAATTATACAGTGCTATAATGTCAAGGTCTGCTAATATCTAGAATATTTAGTATGAATGTCAAGGTCTGCTAATATCTAGAATATAATTCTTTTACTTCTGTTTAGTCTTCTATTCACAAGGCTAATTGGTTAAGGATGCTATCCTGTCATGATATGAAGATATGGTGTTCAATGTTTATTTGTTGATTATGTTTCTTTAAAATAACATAAGAGCTTCATAAAACAAAACACTTCTCTCTATTAAATAAAAACACTATCCCTTAAGCCTTTAATTAAACAACCACCTCTGGAAACAGAAAGGAAAAGAGAAATACAATTAATTAATTGTTCCAACCATTGTTCCCTGAGGACATTAGACAGGTCTTCAAGAATTAATTAGAATAATAGTAATAAAGCAAAAGTATAAAGCTACATCTAGTACTTTCCCATCTTATAAAACATTTCTAGAAAAGATGAGTATTTGGTCCAGTTAAGTGAGCAAACAAATTCTTTCAACGTTTTTAAGTATACAGTGTCAAAATTCTCTCAGAGCTGTGGCAACCCCAAGGGTCATTGTTAGTCTCCTCTGCCAGTATGTTCCAAAACACACCACATAAAAGATCCCAAGGCACGGAAATAATAAGTAATCTTGATTTCTTGTAGAAAGCTAGTTGTTCTGGGAATAAAATGTACTATTACCCTACCTCAAAGTGGGAAAACTCAAACTGCAGTGAAAAGCAGAATGCGAGAGGCAGCAAAAGTAAACCCTTCACTTCTAATGGTGCTGACAAGTGACTGCCAACCACCCACAGAGACAATTACAGAAACCCCCACAATCCATTACCTCACACAAGTGAATTCCCATTTACTGCTAAGAAGCACAAGCTGTAAATTTTCCTCTAAATGTGCTGTACTAGTAAATCTGTGACCAGAAAACGCCAACACAGCCTCAGCAACAGCATTGGCTCTCTCATCTGACAGCACTTCCTTCAGTCTTGGAGCTGCCTTTCTAAAATAGTCTCAGGGGACTTTTAGTCAGAAGCAGACAACAATCAATTTGATATAAAGGCATCAAACCAATTTGTTTTCTAAGTTAAAAAAATACTGCTGATATTACTGTCTCAAAAAGTTCAGAGACTGAGCCATCTGGAATCTCAGTGTGGACTGCTTATAATTACAACAGAAGATCAAGGAGGCGTAGAAGTCAAAGGGACCTACAAGGTCTTCTGTGGGATGACCAACCCCACACTGAGATCACTTCTGTGTCCTTCCTGGTGGATGATTCCACAATCTGGCAGGCTTTTGTGAGAGTCCACACAACTTGGATCAAAGTGACAGTTGTTCACAAGGATCTAGAACTTTCATTCCTGTAACACACCCTTTGATACTCATTATTTGTTGTTCTAGGAAAATAGAAAAAGTCCAGCCTCTTCACCCATACAGCTCTGCGAGGAGTCAATCCAAATTAAAGACTGTTCTGGCTGCCTCTAGTTGATTAAACATAGGGGATACAAAATTGAGCATAACATGGTAGCAGACACATAATGAAACTCCATACATGGACAACTGCTGTACCTATAATACAAAATCCTCTAGAGACTGTTTTTAAGGTATTTTTTTTCTTTTATCCACAGCAATATAAACTTATGTCTCAACAAAGTCT